AAAGCGAATGGAAAAAATGAAGAGGTAAAAGAGCTGAATAGAAAAATTAAAAGAGCAGCTTGAGAAGACAAAGTCAAATATTAGATTGAAATATGCAAAGACCTGGATTTAGAAAATAAACAAAAAGGAAAGAATATGCTCAGCATTTCTCAAGTTGAGGGAACTGAAGAAAAAATTCAAACCTCGACATGGAATTTTGAAAGCTTCTATATGGACAAAATACTGAACGATGCGGAAAGCATCAAAAGAAGATGGAAGGAATATACAGAGTCACTGTACCAAAAAGAAATGGTCGATGTTCAACAATTTGAAGAGGTAGCATATGATCAAGAGCCAATGACCCTGAATGAAGAAGTCCAACTTGTACTTGAAGGCATTGCCAAAGAAGAAAGTTTAGAGTATTGATAGAATAGAAATTGAAATATTTCACTCTTGTAACACTGGATGGAGGCACTCAGTCATCTATGCCAAGAAATTTGGAAGGCAGCTACCTGATTGGAAGAGATCCATATTTGTGCTCATTCCAAAGAGAGGTGACCCAATAGAATGCAGAAGTCATCAGACAATTTAATTACTATTGCATGCAAGTTAAATTTTACTAAACAGAATTCAAAAACAGGAAACTGTGAAAGTTTCAAGCCTGATTCAGATGAGGATGTGGAACAAGGGTATCATTGCTGATGTCAGATGGATATTGGCTGAAAGCATAGAATACCAGAAAGATGTTGAGCTGTGCTTTATTGAGTATGAAAAGGCTTTCAATTGTATGGATCATGACAAGCTGTGGACAGCATTGTGGAGAATGAGTATTCCATAATACTTGATTATGCTCATGAAGAACCTGTACATAGACCAAGAGGCAGTTTTTTTGAGCAGCACAAGGGGACACAGAATGGTTTAAAATTAGGAAAGGTGTGTGCCAGGGTTGTATTCTTTCACCATACTTATTAAGCCTGTATGCTGAGCAAATTTGAGAAGCTGGATTATATGAAGAAAACGTGACATCAGGAATGGAAGAAGACTCATTAACAACCAGTGATATGCAGATAATACAATCTTGCTTGCTGAAATAAAGAGGACTTAAAATACTGATGAAGGTCAAAGACTACAGCCTTCACTATGGATTGCATCTCAAAGTAAAGAAAACAAAAATCCTCACCACTGGACCAATAAGTAACATCAGGATAAATGGTGTAAAGATTGAAGCTGTCAAAGACTTCATTTTGTTTGCATTCACTATCCACACTCATAGAAGCAGCAGTCAACAAATCAAACGATGTACTGCATTAGGCAAATCTGCTTCATAAGACCTCTTTAAAGTGTTCAAGAGCAAAGATGTCAGTTTGAGGACTAAGGTATGTCTGACCCAAACCATGTTATTTTAAGTAACCTCATATGCTTGTGAAAGTTGGACAATGAATAAAAAAGACCGAAGAAGAATTCATGCATTTGAGTTATTGTGTTGGAGGAGAATATGAAAAGTACCATGAACTGCCAAAAGAACAAACAAACCTATCTTGGAAGAAGTAAAGCCAGTATGCTCCTCAGAAGTGAGGATGGTCAGACTTTGTCTTTCATAATTTGGACATGTTAGTAGTAGTGAACAATTCCTGGAGAAGGACATCATTCTTGGTAAAGTGGAGGGTCAACAAAGGAGGAAGACCCCAACAAGATGGACTGGCACAGTGGCAGCAGCAGTGGGCTCAAGAGTAGCAATGATTGTGAGTTTGGCACAGGACCGGGCAGTGTTTCATTATGTTGTATATAATAAGGTCACTATGGTAATGACGCAAGGGCACCTAACAACAACAATAAAAACAACTATATTTTAAAACTGTCTTTAGTCAGATTATATTTTTGGCCTAAAAAGAGCAAGTTGTTGTTGATGTTGTTAAGTGCTGTCGAGTCAGTTCTGACCTATAGCCTACCCTGTGTAGGGTTTCTGAGGAGCGACTGGTGGGTTTGAACCACCGACCTTGTGGTGCAAAATGGCCTTGCAGTACAGTACATTATCTTGCAGCACCACATCAGGACTCCAAAGGAGCAAAGTAGCAGGATAATAATGCTCGCTTACAATTTGTTCAGGATTTTTAAGGGGTACTCTCAGGATTTGATTTGTTGTTACCCATTTCCTTGTTAGATGGAATATGCCCACAAACCAGATTGGAGAAGTACTGTTGGTTATTGACTCAGGACTAACTTCCAAAAGGATTTGAGAAGCTAGTTTACAAATTCTCGAGTTTTAAACCTGAGTTTGTAAGCAAAGAACTTCCACCAAAGCTTGCGAGTGGAAAACTTGGAAGATTGTTTTCTCTAATGGTATTCCAGTAGAGGGAGCTCAAAGCTCACAAACAACCAAACAAATCTAGGCCAAATAAAAATGAAAATAGGAGTCCTGGTGTGGACCTGTGGGTTAATGCGCCAGACTGCAGAGCCATTTGAACTGCAAGGTCAGCGGTTCAAGCTCAACAGCTGCTCTTTGGAAACCCTATACAGGCTCGCTATGGGTGGGAATCGACTTGATGACACTTAACAACAACAACAACTTAATAATAACAAAAATAAAACTTGGTTGAACCTTGGATGCAACAAAGTTGAGTTTCAAGGCTCTTCAAGGTGCTCACCCAAGCAGCTCTCAAAGTTTCCTGGAAAAGAGTTCAAATGGCTCAGCTGGTTCCAAGGCGCAATTTCCCAGGATTGCAGATTCTTCCAGAGGAAGCTGGCTTTTGGATCTCACTTCTGAAACCAAAGGAGTCAAAGTGCAAGTTTGTTTAAAATTGGAAACTAAATATATTACAGCAAAAGAGCGTCAGAAAAATGGAGAACAGAGAGAGCATGCTCTGACAATGTGTTCTAGAAAGATGCAGAGATTTGTAAAGATAAAAACCACAACCACGGGGTACATTTGGGGTATACTTGATTGAATGATATTTACAAAGTTGCAGGTGCTAGAGTTTTTTTGTTTTTAATTTTGTATTGTTATTTGAATGAAAGTGTACAGAGCAAATTGGTTTTTCATTCAATGATTCATGCGCGTTTTGTTTTGTCACATTAACAGCAGTTTTCCCACCTCCTCCTTGTATTTACTGTTTCCTTTTGTCCTTTCCTTCTGGGCTTATGCTTGGACAAATGCTGCCTTCATCTAGTATGGTTAATTGTTCTAAGGAGTGTATACCTCCTGGCTCTTGTTGGCTTATCTGTTTGGTGGAAAGTTGAACCATGGGAATGACTTCCATTCCAGGCCTGAAAGGTGATTAAGGGCAGCAGTCTTAGGGTTCCATTAGTAAGCCTGGTCTTTTTATGATTAAGAGTTTTGTTCCACATTTCCCCCTACTCTTTCCAGTACCCTCTTATAATTCTTTACAGAGCGAAGTCGTGGTACCCAAGCACCAACTAAGTTTTCTGGTCTCGGGGTTGTGGATGATGGGATTTGCATGGTCTATTATGTGTCTTTGAAATTGTGGAAATATCACCTGCCGGGTCTTAGTTGACCACCTCTGCAAGGTTGGCTTTCTTTGTCAGAATTGTTGGTGACAGCATGCTAGGTGACAGCATACTGCTGACTGAATTTCCTGGATTACTTAAAAATAGAGGTACAGGGTGCTGTAAAGTGTCTAGATGTATTTACTGAGAGTTGGCTGACCACCTAAGTTGTATGTTTCCTGGCACATTAGGTCACCTAGACTAAGGGTACATTGGTGTTGGTTGTGGTAGTTTGCCACGGAGTTGATTCTGACTCATAGTGACCCTGTGTAGGGTTTCCAAGGCTGTAAATCTTTATGGGAGCAGAAAGCCTCATCTTTTTGCTGCAGAACGACTGGTAGTTTCTAACTATTGACCCTTGAGGTTAGCAGTCAACTCATAACCACTAGTTAAATCTGCATTGTATCATGGGACTTTAGAAAATTTGTGGAAATTTTCCATTATCTTTCAATTCCATTTTTTCCTTGAAGCTTCCTTATACTGGGGTGCTCTGTTAAAACAATCACAAAGAGATTATTCAAAGCATAAAATGATCACAAATGAAAGTGTTAAGTATTCTTATCCCTAAGGGGAGAGAAAGTTTTAATATAGAAATGCTATATATGTGACTCTATTTTATACTAGTGTGTGCCAACTATGAGTGCATCTCTCAGAAGCTTAACCCTAATGTGTTTCTTTAACATTTGTGTGAGCAGATTTCTCTATGGAAGCTGTTTGTATCTAAGTCAAGTTTTTACAAAAAGAAAAAAGGCTGTACTTTTAACAAAATGGAATCACTTATGGCAAGAAAAAAATCCAAATTAGACGTTAGGCAGGCCATAGTTTCAAAATGCTCTTCCTCGCTCCTGGTAATTGGGCTCCTGGTGTGGAATGTAGGATAAGCACTGGACTACAAATCACAAGGTCACAAGTTGAAATCCACAAGCAACTTCTTGGAAACCCAATACAGGGTCTCCGTGAGTTGGAACCAATTCAGTGACACAAAACAGCAACAACTAACTACCACGTTGGTGGTGCAAACCTACTAGCTGCGCCTCGAAAACTTTATACAAGGTTGCTATGAGTTGTAACTGACTGTGGATGGCACTTAAAAACAATAGTTGGGGATTTTTTTTTTTAGCATTCTACAAATAAGTATTGAAAAACAATTTTTTGGTGTTTTTTTAGGTTGCCAAAGGTTTGGAAATATGAATTTTAGGATAATTCATTTAAGTAACTAGTATAACCTTTGGGATCAGGTAAAATAAAATTTTCAGGAATTTGATGGAGGACTTTGTAATCAATATATTACAAAGCTATGACATTGGAGTCACAGATCTGATTTTATAATCATAGGTTTTATACTGCCAAAGATTCTTTTTGAGTCTCAGTGTCCTTATCTGTAAAATAATGAATGAACTAAGACAATGATTTTACTGCCCTTACTGATGTAGTGTGTTTTTACTTAGGTGGCAGGTTGTATAAAAGAAGTCCTGGAACTTGTGGCCGTACCATCCAGGTATAAAAACGTTTAAGAAATGGAACAACTATGCGAGGAAGAACAAGAAGAGCCAGAACCGCAGAAGAATGTCAAAGAAACCAAACAAGTGAATGATGATGATGCTGAATTGATACTTGTTGGCGTGGAGCATGTCAATGAAGATTCTGAGCTGATCTTTGTTGGTGTGACTTCACACTCAAAACCAGTTGTTTCCACTATTTTGAATAGAGCCACCCCAGGTTCATATTCAAGGAGGAAAAAGTATGGTCGCCACAAACAAGATCCTGCTTGCAGTACCTTGCAGCCTACAAGACATACGACCTCTCCATCAAAAATGGTGGCTGTCTCACCAGCGTCTTCTTCGGAATCAAGATCAACAGACAGTCCTATAATTATTGAGCCTTTGTCTCATCCTGAATATGAAAACAACTCAATACCAGTCCAGCCTAATAGCTCTTCAGAGGTGCACTCTCCATTGATTACGTTCACAAGTTCATTGCAGCATCCAGGAGGAACAGCACTTTCTTTTGGAGGTGTAAAGGAAGGACCACGTATACCAAAGCAACTTTCAACTTTTGAAGTAAACAGCATAAATCCCACGAGGCCTAAACTCAGTGATGGAATCCCACAGGGACATTTTTCGGCTTTACCAGCCTCAGATGTCTCTCCTGCAAAGAACATCCAACAAAATACACCCTCAATAGGTCTTAATACCTCAGTAAGCCATGCTCTGCATGGAACACCTTTTCTAACAACTTTTCCAAAGGACAAGCTCCATTTTAAACCTATAAATCCAGATAGCGGAAATGGGGGAATGGCCAAAACAGACTTTTCAAGACTAGCAAGTCCAAACAAGACTTTTGATTCCCAGGAAGGAAGTGTGACCGTGTTACTTCATGACTTCTATTATGGGCAACATGAAGGAAATGGGCAGCCAGAACAGAAGACTCACACAAACTTTAAATGTTTCAGCTGCCTGAAAGTTCTTAAGAATGTGAAGTTTATGAATCACGTGAAGCAGCACTTGGAACTCGAGAAGCAGATGGGTGATAGCTGGGACAGCCACACCACCTGTCACTATTGTTACCGGCTATTTCCCACTCCCATCCAATTACAACGCCACATTGAAGGTGTGCACATCACGCAGGAATTCTCCACTGTTTGTAAAATCTGCGAGTTGTCATTTGAAACAGACCAGGTTCTCCTACAGCACATGAAGGACATGCACAAGCCTGGTGAAATGCCCTACGTATGCCGTGTTTGCAATTACAGGTCTTCAGCCTTCACTGAAGTGGAAACCCACTTCAAAACCTGCCATGAAAACACTAAGAATTTGCTTTGTCCGTTTTGCCTCAGAATTTTTAAGGCTGCAACACCATACATGTGCCATTTTAAAGGGCACAGGGAAAAGAGTGCTCACTCATGTTCCAAATGCCGACTGCAGTTTTTAACTTTCAAGGAGAAAATGGAGCACAAGACCCAGTATCATCAAATGTTTAAGAGGCCTAAACAACTAGAAGGATTACCTCCTGAAACAAAAGTTGTTATTCAAGTGTCTCTGGGACCTCCCCAGCCAGGATCAGTGAAAGTGGCATCCATTACTGTGAACACGTCTGACTCTGAACCATCACTCCTGTGTCTAAAAGAATTGCCAAAAAAAGCTACTCACTCTAGTTCTTTGAAATCTAAAATGTTTCAGTCCAAGTCAAAAGTCTCCCCACCCTCTCCCAAAAAATGTAAACTACACATTTGTCAGTAGCACCAAATGAACAGAAACCAATGAATCATTCATGAGTTCCTTTAATTCATGATTGACAATATTGTTTGGGCTAAATTACAAGGTGTTATTTTAAAATATGTAGTTTTTGGTTTTCATATCTGACTTAACACAGACTTGATATCTTTATGTGTGTATGTATGTGAGAGAAAAAACAAAACAAAACACATTATTTTGGTATTTTTTGTTATGCCCAAGCATATATAGATTTTGTTGAATTATTTTGAATTACTTAATTTTATCCTCAACCTTTTCCTTACATTGAAGATTCAATATTAAATGGCTTTGTTATGGGGCAAGACCCTATTTGCTGCTGAACTCCAGAAGTGCCTCTGCTGTGCTTGTACTGAAAGCCTGGGTGTCTAGATGCTGATGAGAAATTTGGTACAAAGGTACCCAGGTAGGCAATGCTTAGAGAGGGGCAGTGGCTCCTTTTACAGTTGAGGGAAGGGCACACATCCACTTCCTTTGCATTAGCAGAAGGAAGACTGAAAATATCCCCCCCCCCCACTTTTTTTTTTCTTAAGTATCTTTAACCCAGGAACATGAAAAGAGGCAAAACCATGGTGTTAAGGTCCCTGGATGGCATTTTGCCTTCGGCTAGTATCTAAAAACTTGGCAGCTTGGACCCATCCAGTAGCACCTGGGAAAAAACAGACCTAGCAGTTTGCTTCTTGTAACGATAACGGCCCAGAAAACTCTAAGGAGCAGTTCTATTCTGTAACCCATGAGTTTCCAAAGTCACTGACAAATAACAAAACAAAAATAACTACAAAGTTCAATGTTTGAGAGGGCCCAGACATCAAACAGCTGCTATGCATCACTGACTTCAGATGAAGCAGCCACAGCAATCCATAGAATGAGACCTGGTGCCAGTGGGCCTCCTGCTGAGTGATTTAAAGGGGGCACCCATTTATCTCAACTACATTCCTTCTGGCTGGCCTTTAGTGGAGAATGGATTGGCCACATTCCTTTTACACCACAGGTGGTCAGAAGCAAGTAAACTCAAGAGAAAGGAGCCCTGACCTTCATAGTTTAGTTTGAACTGGACTGGACCCATATTTTTAACTGGAAGGGGCTAAACAAATGTTATCTGCCAGTTTAGAGGCTGGACGAAGTTCAGTCTTCCACTGGTAAGCTGGAATGAGCGCTATTCAAGAAGAGTAGATAGAATGAATACAAACAGAAAGCCCAGGCTGGCAGACTGAAACGATTACAAGGCTTGCTTTTCCTTGTATTTTACTGGGCACACACTGTCATTGAACGCATGACACTTACAATTCTGTGTCATGCCTTGGACATGAATGTATTGAAGTTAACAGTTATTCTATTATATGTATGTACAATTTCCAAATTCATCATACTGATACTGAGTTTGGGTCTTGACACGCTAATGTGCAAGAAAGAAATATCCCATCGTTAATTAAATATGAGGAGGCCTCAAAATGGTTGTGGAAAGATTCTATTATCCCTTAATTTTATTTTTCCACAAACTTTTTCAAGCACTCTTGTAGTAAATCTTAAGAGTTGCTATCCTTCAGCACTGTCAGGAACCTAATCTATCTCTATGGGAGAAAGAACCATTTCAGGAAACTGGAGAAGGTCTTGAGTATTGGTTCCTGAATATTAGCAGCCTTGGCTGCTTCTGTGGTTCCAGGGTTGAGTCTCCCTAGGTATGGTGTAGCACCATGCCTTCTTCCTCCAGCCCCAGCTGAGGTGTCCAACAGCCTTTGTGCTCCACTCCAGGAATCTGGGATTCTGGTTCTAGATCTAGACCTGGAGAAAAACTCTCCCTGCTTTCTTTATCCTCTTCCTTAAAGGTACCTCCACTGGCTCTCCTCTTGTCTCCCATCCCGCTCCTATCCCCGTCCCCTGCCCAGTCTAGCTTAGTTTCCTGGGCTTCTACAAATGTTGAGAGGATACAATCATCAAGGCTGTAACTTCCCTAGTAGAATCCAGGGAAGAGAGGTGGCAGATAACACAGTAGTGTTGTCAGGATATGTGTACATTTGAGATAACAAAATGTAGATAATGTTTAATTTATTTGTTTGATAGGTGGCAGATTGATTTGCACCTTGAACGTTTTACTAGGCTTTTTAGCTTGTTTGGGCCAAGGCACTTGCGTAAAATTTCAGCATGAACTCTTTGTTGAGGTATAGAAAGATTTTTTTTTTTTTTTCTTCTCCCCTAATTATTTGAAAACTACTGTGTCTCTTCCACTTGCTCTCTCTCAGGTGGAAGTGCCTACTGTGTATAAATAGATCTGCAGACTTATGCCTACTTATATCCCTTATGGTGGTATCTGTATGTGTGTGGTTGCTTAGTATTTTAGCACTATTACTGTTGTTTGCTGCTTCATTGAAACATACTCCTAGGGAGCACAAATTGTCATTCATTGCCAACTACCACCACCACCCACTGCCATGGAGTCAGTTCTGACTCATAACAATCCTACTGGGAAGAGAACAACTGCTCCATATGGTTTTCAAGGCTGGCCACCTCTATGGGAGCAGACAGCAGCTCAACACTTAACCCAATGCCCCAATAGGGCAGTGCCAGAAATCTGGCCCTGCCTACCTCTTCTCTCAGTTTCTCTTGTCATGCTTCCCTCCCCACTGATGCACTCTTTTCTGATACAGTGGCCTTGCTTTTCTAACTATACTTCTCCATTCAAAGACTTTGTACATGCTGCTGTTCCCTAGGCCTGCATGGCTTGCTACCTCACTTAGTTGGTCAACCCTTCGTTTAGTTCATGGAGTTTCAACCGCATCCTTATGACACTGGCAGTGAAATCTCCTTACTTTTGCTCTTACTTTCTCCTCCACTTGAAAGGCACTTTATCTCTTTCCACTCCTCTTTTTTCTCCCCAGTCGAGTTTAATTTCCTGGGCTTTCACAAAAAGCTGGGAAAAGATAATCATCAAGGGCTTGGCTTCCCTCTTAGAACTGAGCTAGCTTGAATCAATTTCTGTGCCTGTAATTAAAAGAAAATTCATATAGTGAGTTCTTTCAGGAGCTTTCTCTGTTTTTCTATTGATAATGCTCTATTTTTTTAATGCAATGTCACTTTGTTTTGTTTACAAATGTACTGTATATTGACTGTCAAGATTGATATTTTGTTATTCTTATCTTTGTGGATTCCCCTATCTATTTTGCTTGCTTGTTGTTTCAGATAAAATTATTTTATTAATGTTGCCAAAATTGTAAGTAAAATAGCAATTATTATAATAAAATGTTTTGTGACTAAGATATTGTCGTTCCATCAATACTAACAAGATATTATTTTAGGGTGCTTTTCCAATTTTTATTGAGTGCCACTTATGTAAACTCTTTGCCTTCCTGCCAATTATATTTGAGTCTTTTGAATTAGTCACAACTTCCAAATAATTACAAGTACAATGGAGTTAATTGACTTTTTAAAAAGTACATGGTATAATAAAAAATTGACAATTAAAGGTAACAAGCACAATATTTAAAGAATTAACTTTCTACTTTAACATCTTTATAGAGAATTATTGCATAATTTTATTGGCTGCTGTATAACAGCTATTGAAATAATCATGTTTTTTTTTTCTTTATTAACCTAATGTTTTGCTTGGCTACATCCACAAGTTTTCTTGAGGCCTTCCTTTCTTGAAGCAAAAGTAGCCGCACTTGGGGTAAGAACATCACCCTCATTATTCAGAATCCCTCTCTTTCTCATATCTATTGTTGAAGCTGGTTTCTTTCTCTTCTAATTAAATTTGCCACAGTTTTTCTATGTTTCTGATTTACTTTTTCCCCAAGAAACAGCCTTTGGTTTGATGTATGATCTCAACTGATTTTGATTTTGCTGTTCTTTATTTTAAATTTTATTCATTATATTATTCTTATTTTCATAAAGATTGTTCTTTTATAACCTTTTATTTAAAAAACTTAATTTTTCTTTAATAAGTAGGATTTAAGACCTTGATTGCCTCTGTATAGCTTTGACTGAATCTCAAATGTTTTGATGCATATTGCTTTCATTTTTATTAAAATTTTCACATTTTTGGAGCAAATTTAAAATTCTGAAGATTAAGTTTTACATGCTGAACATTTCAGTTGTAATTTATTGTTTTACAGAGAATTCCGTTTTCTCTGGAGCTTTGAGTATATTTATACACTATATGTCTATATAGATACTCTTTAGATTGCTAAATGGAGCAATAGTGTATTTTCTATTTCTATGGTGAAATATGAAATATGTTTTCTTTCTTCTAGGAATTTATTTAAAATAAATCTTGTGTAAAAGGTGGATGGAAATATTTATTTGAGAGTAATTTCTGGTAACAAAACTTGGAAACCAAACTGCAGATCAAATGAATTGTTCACTAAGTATATACCTACCTTGGTGACACTGTGGGTTAGGCATTGACCTTAACCCTAAAGTCAACAGTTCAAACTTACCAATCACTCCACAGGAGAAAGACAAAGCAGTCTGTACCATAAAGCTTTACAGTCTTGAAAGCAGGGTCGCTAAGAGTCAGAATTGACTTGATGGCAGTAGATTTTATACATAGTATTACTCAGTTTTCTGTTCAGCTCTTGGAC